ACTCTTCAGCATTTTTGCTTAATTTCATCTCTGATGATTTTATTTAAAGAGAGAATGTCTTGTAGGGATAAGATTCAATTTATTTTTGTATCTCACTGTATTCATAATTTTTCATATTGTAATGATATACTGTTTTTGCTTGTCAATAACCAGTATACAGTCAATGAAATTATATTGTCATATTTTAAGAACTTTTTCTTCTTTATCCTCTTTCTATGAGAGTTCTGAGTTGTATGTAGATATTATTTAAGATTTATTTTACTTAAATGCATTTTTTTTTCTCTCCCATCATAGGTGCAGGAGAAAATTATGAGAACACCATATCAGCCTTCAGACAGTAAGTATTGTCTAATATTTGATACAGGAACATATAGAGTATGTTAAGTGTTTGTGTGTTTGTGTGTGTGTGTGTGTGTGTGTGTGTGTGTGTGTGTGTGTGTGTGTGTATGTTTGTGTGTGTGTGAGTGTGTGTGTGTGTGTGGGGGGGGGGGGATGTGTTTGTGTTTGTGTGTGAGTGATTTTTTGTTATTATCATTACCATTAATATCATTACTGTAGTTATCATAATACTTTAGTAACTAATTATAATGTGTCAAAAGTATTTTTTGTCTTTTCTGAAAGGATGGGGGTAAATAGCTGAGGTTTAGTAATGCAATAAATTAGCTCATTAGTTACTGAGTACTTTTGTAATCTTCTTTGCATAAAATAAAAAGATAATTAAAGAGATATACAAATAGAAAGGAAAAAAAACTTGTGAATAGAGTATGTGAATTTGTGCTCTCGATGTCTCTAAAGCACACACTTTTGTTTTATTTATAGAGTATGTGTTATATATTGTTGTGTTTAGTCTTTTTTCTCTAATATAGGTTCTATAATTATAAGTTTATATAGGTTCCTATAATTATTATCTTAATTTGCTCTCATTTTACCTTTTTCTTTTCTTTTTAATTTGAAGATTTTATCTTATTATTTTTTTCTTTTAGTTTTGATAATTTCCTTTGTTTTTCTTTTGCCATTTTCTTTTACTTTTTCCCCCTTTCATTATTTTAGTCTTCATCTATCACTTTATTTTTTCCCTCTTTTTTCTCTCCTTTCTTTAACCAGTACTCTCTCAATTTACCAATAATTTTTTCTCTCTCTTCTACCTCCCTTTTAGTGCGGTGGAGGTCGGCACAGACATGCTGGAGCTCGACTGCCAGCTAACCCTAGACGGCCAGGTGGTGGTGTCGCACGACTCCATCCTCGACGTCCGCACAGAATCAAAAGGGGCCATTTCAGAGTACAAATACGAGGAGCTCCCCCTCATCCGCGAGCAGGTGCCCATCGACTTCATGCCCGGCACGACCTTCAGCGGCAAGAGTGACGACCGGAGGTTCCCCTTGCTCGAGGAGACGTTCCAGCTCTTCCCCAACCTGCCCATCAATATCGACATCAAGACGAACAATAATGAGCTCATCTCCAAAGTGAGTGGGTGGGAGGGAGGGAGGGGACCCTGTATAGAAGGGGGAGGTGCGAGAATGAGAGAGGTGGAATGTTTGAGAGAGGAGGGAGGGAGGGAGGCATGATAGAGGGAGGGAAGAAGGGAGGGAATGAGAGGGCCTGTGTAGATGGAGGATGTGTGAATGAGAGAGGTGGAATGTTTGAGAGAAAGAGGGAGGGAGGAATGAGAGAGAGAGGGAATGAGAAGGCCTGTGTAGATGGAGGATGTGTGAATGAGAGAGGTGGAATGTTTGAGAGAGAGGAAGGGAATGAGAGGGCCTGTGTAGAGGGAGGATGTGTGTGAATGAGAGAGATGGAATGTTCCAGAGAGGAGGGGAGAGGGAGGGAAGGAAAGAGATGGAAAGAGTGAGAGGAATGATGTACTAAAGAGAGGGAAGGAATTATAGAGGGAGGAAGGGAGGGAAGGAGGAAAGGAAGCAGGGAATGAGGTGGAGAGAAAGAGAAAAGGAGATAAAGATAGAAGGATTGAAGGAGATAAATAGCTAGATGGATAGATAGATAGATTAGGAGAGAGATAGAGAGAGAGAGAGAATATGACAGAATATTCACAAGCATTTCTGTAGCTGACTATTTTTCTTATCTATGAAATATCATCCATAAAGCTAGAAAATAAACCCAGACTTCCACACAATAACCCTTTCTCCTCTGGAAAGACGACCAATAACCCGCTATTCACCGCAAAATCCATTCCCACAGGTAAGCAACCTAGTGAAGAAATACAACCGAGAACACATCACAGTCTGGGGGAACATGAAGGACGAAGTTACACAAAAGTGCTATAAGGAGGTAGGTTTGTGATAGTGTTTTTTATGTTTTTAAAGTTTGCGAGTGCCTTGCTTTTTTTTTTTTTTTTTTTTTTTTTTTTTTTTTTTTTTTTTTTTTCTCTCTCCTATTTGGAATTTTTTTCCCGTTCTTTTTTCTTTCTTTCTTTCTTTCGTTCTTTTTTTCTTTTCCTTTTCTTTTCTTTTCTTTCTTTTTTTCTTTTTTTGGCAATTAGATTATTAAGGCTTTAGAAATCTAGGGAGTTGGGTAAATCTTTTTTGTGTTTGTGCATCCTCGTATATTCTGAAGATGTATATTAATAGCTTATAAGTGAAAAAGCAAAGGTTTGTTTGCTTATTACCTACTGACTTTTTTCTTTTCTTTTCTTTTCTTTTTTTTCTTTTTTTCTATCATCATGGTTGAGTAGTATATGTAACAGAGTCTGGAGTAATAAAAATAACACTTTTTAAAAGGATAAATGATAAGTTAAGCCTCGCTGTATGTAATTATTCATTATATGCTAGAGGTTTTTCAAAATTTTGTACTTAGCTTATGAAATCTCAGTACTGTATTTGCAGATTATCTCACTCTCACTCACACTCTCACTCACACTCACACTCACACTCTCACTCTCACTCATACTCTCACTCACACTCTCACTCTCACTCACGCTCTCACTCACACTCTCACTCTCACTCTCACTCTCACTCTCACATACACATAAGAAGACACACAAATAAGTAAGATATTTTTCTCTCTGGTCAGAGTCTTCTTTCAGGGAAAAAAAGACTGATGCAGATGGTTTCATCTTCCCATGTAAATACTATTTTGGTATACCTATACCGTCTATCAGCAACATTTCCCTAAATCATGCAGTTATGTATTTATGACTTCATTCGCTGAAAACTCAATTAATTAATTTCAGTAATTTTTGGGGGGTTCTATAATAGTTTATTGATTTATCTAATTTTTTATTATTACTTGTTAGCACAGAGTAATGATTAAAAGTGACAGTTAGCCGTGAGAAGAGGAGGTTTTAGGCCAAGGGAGAGGAGAGACAGAGACAGGGATGAGAAAGTGGCTGGGCTTAGTGGTGAGCATCTCATTGAAGCTTCAGTCGCCTTTGCTGTTTCTTCTTTCCTTCTTCTTTGCATCAACATTTCCCGGTATTTTCTCACAGGATGATGCTCAGTTAAAATAGAAGTAGTAATAATAATAAAAATAAGCATAGGAGTTCGAGAAATGGGAGGATATATGGTATGACACTGTGCTGTCTTATTTATCCCCCCCACCCCATTCTAAGCACTAGGCATGAAAAAAATAACCATATGCCATGAAAATTTACCATCAGTATTACTCCACAATCTCATTTCGAGCATATACAGCGGACGTTCCTGTGCCAGCTATGGTTTTAATTCAAGTTTATAGTTAGTTAGTTTGTTAGTTTTTTTTTGTTTTTTTTTACAGTGTGGACAGTGATCTTAGGTGAAGTTCAAATGCTCATTTTCATTATCTCCTTTTTGATTATAGATTTTTTTCTTTTCTCTTTTTTCTTTTTTTCTTAAAGGTTTCATTGATTTTTCCGTTTATCTCCTTTTTAATTGGTAATAGGCCTTTTTTCCCTTTTTTCTCTTTTTTTCTTTTTTTCTCTTTTCCCTGATTTTTTCCCCCCATTTTAAAGGTTATGTTTTCTTCTTAATTTTTTTTCTAAGATGTTTCTTTTGACTTTTTTAATCATTATTATTATTATAATTTGATAAGTCCACACTTGTGACTAAGCCACATGGGTCTTATTTTCTGTCTCATTTTTCTCCTCTACTGCATCTCTCCCTTGTCTTAAGATATGCTTTTTTTTTTTTGTTTTTGTTTTTGGTAATAATAATCCCGCTGGAAGCTCACCTTTATGTCTCCCTTAGGCAGGAAGACTCGCATCCCATCAGTCACAGCCTTGCGGTCAGGCAGAAACAATTAAAGCACAGTAGGTTCTCCGATTTACTCACATGTGCGTGATGGTTTGATGCTTGCCAAGTGTCATTGTCCGATTGCGTTGGTTTTAGATTTTGAATTTGATTTTTTTTTTTTTTTTCTGATTTTCAAATGTTTCTTTACTTTGCATTTTGTTTTTTTGTTTTTTGTTTTTTTGTTTTTTTGGTTTCATGCCTTTCTCCTACCTTTTTTTGAGTCTTGGTATTTTTTTTTTCTTTTTTTTTTCTTCTTCTTCTTTACTTTATAATGTTTCTTTGGGTATTTGTATTCCTCACACTTTCGTGGCTTTGCAGCATAATGTTTTCCGTGTCTGGTGGTGTGTCCCATAAGGGTCTTGTGTGGAATACAGTAATTTGCTAAAGCGTGTCTTTCCGTTACAGAATAATTGTTAAGAAGTACCTTGCTGGTGGTACGGTAATTGGCCAAGATGTAATGATGAAGGATGAAATATTCCTTATTTATAGTCACCTTTGACAGAGTTCTTGGATACCTTGAAAGGGAGAAAGGACTATCAGATACACAAAATAAGATTTAAAGAACTGATAGGAAAGGAATGACCTATGATTGCAAAAGATAAACTGGTTATGAATATGATGTTCTAGAGAATTTGGTCAATTTTGTTTGTGCATGAAACAAGAAAAAGACAAATTACATGGAATTTCTGGTTTGACTAATTATAAGATATTTTTCATACTTACATTCTGGGAAGATAGAGCTTGGTCGGGTTCCTTATTTGGAGATCAGTTGGTAGG